GAGGGATCAAGGCATTGACAGTGCATGACCCAAGCAATGCAACTGAGCGAGAATACTTCCTGCGCCAGGACCATGTATTCAATGCTGACATGTTCAGTACTCCTGGTGATGATGTCTTTGTTGACGTTGCACTCGAGCTGTCTGTGAAGGAGGGAGCAGTTATGTGGCGCTCTGACGGCCATGCAGTCGCGCTACAGAGACTACTGCAAATGCATCAGACCGAAGCCGACAAGTGGACGCGTTTCGGTTACTACAATTACAAACGGGATACATGTGCACATCTCACCTCCATCGCAGGATGTCACATCACAACACATACCACACCGCTCGGACAATTCAACGCAACCTTTGTCCAGATGTACACAACCGATAAATGCCTTACCTATGACATGCGGGCAAGCAATAATGCCAAGTTTGTTACAGCAGTTAATCTGATGAAGAAGTCAAAGTACACATACAATGAGTTTCTTGGGAAATTGTATGGTGTCTTCGCAGATGCAGCATGGCATAACGATGTACATGCACGGATTGAGGCACGAGTCCCACTGGCTAATGCGGAAGATGTGTTCGCAGATGTTCCAGTTGCGAGCTTCTTGGATCTGGTGTATTGTGTTCCACGACAAGACTGGTGGTGAGCCCATTTCTAGAAGCTATATAATGATGAGGATCAGGGCTAATAGTATCCACAGGCAATTTAAATCCGCCAGAGCTCTCGGATTTGCGACATTGATCCAGTGGCAGAATGAAGAGCACAACACAGACATGCGACACCGTTACTATCCAGTCATCCTGACATGTCTTGTCGCATTTATGGTGAATTCGCTTCATGCACGGCCAGAAGAGCGATCAGGACACAAGATGTTGATGCATGCCATCTGGCTGCGAACGTACTGGCAGGAAGATCATCACATGATCCTTCCATGCACGCGAAAGAGAGATGGGACAGATGAGCCAGGACCATATGCAGAAGGAGGACTCTGGTGGATTCCGAGCAGTGTGATTGCATGGCCAACACGGAATGGAGGTGGTACAAGAATACCACGATGCGAGAGTGTCATCCAAGTGCCCAGTGAGGCAGGTTGGAATTTGTTGGGCATTAGAAAGACGCTGAATGAGTTCTGTTCTGAAGATAGTCGCATGAAGCACCAACAATTGGTGGAACGGAAGCCAATGGGCCAGGTCATAGGGTGCACGAGGAAAGCCAAGGGTCGACCTGAGGGGCCAATGCCGAAGACAGAAAGGCTAGCTCGACGGATAGAAATGCCACAAAAATCATATGACTACAGGCCCGATCTGCCACCACAGGACTGGATATACGATGAACAATATCCGGAGCATGCCGGGACATTTCTGAATCAAGTACTACAGCAATATGTGTCTGACATGCTGCAGAAGGTTGGACGGGTGAAATGTGGATGGGAACATTCTCCTCTGACACAGAATGAACGGCGGATGGTTGACATCCGTATCATGAAAGAAAATGATCTTGGAGGAGTGTTGACACATGCACAAATGCATGAAGGAACAGAGAGCCAGTGGGATTCACTGTTTGACAACATCTTCCGGACTCCGAATGAACTGAACGCTAGGAAACGACAGTCTGCACGGAGTAACTGGGGAAAGACGAAATCAATAAAGATGTGGGAAGGATTTGTGCATGATATGTCTTCTTCATGACAAGTGGAAGATATGCGAAGAGCACTGAAGAGGGCATTTGATGAATTCCTGTGGTGTGTTTGGTCTGATAGCACACGGGTGTGTGTTTATGAGAAGTCGGGAGGGGAACTGATTAAACCGGAACGAGTTCGAAAAGAGGATCTACCACATTCAGCGGTCCGCCTCATCCGGAATCCATGGATAGAGAACTGGAGATTTGATATTACGAGTGGCCACATGCCAGCATTGCGGAATGTTGAGGAATGGGAGGAGAGGGAGGATGAAGAGGAAATCATGTCGATAATTGAGAGGGAAGAAAGAGAGAAGCAAAAAGAGATGGATATGCAGGAAAGAGAAGATCGCATTCTCCGAGAGCGCAGAGAAGAAGAGGAATCCTCGGAGGATGAAGTGGAGCCAGACATCAGAAGGCAAATAACAGATGAAAGGGAACCGATCACTATGGAAGGGAACAGAGGGATGCTACTGGGGGAGCCCATTGTGTCGCCCAGTCAGCATCAAAGTTGACAAAGGGAGAAGGGGAGCAAAGAAGATGTTGGAATACAATGTCAATGAAACAATTAGTGACATATTCTGACCATTTCAAAGTATATTGACAAAAGACATGATAGCAAATTGAACAAATTGTTACGGTGCTATTTTCACTCCGACAGATGAAAAGAAGCCTGCAAAGAAAATCGGTCATGTACCACGGACTGCACGTGCTCCATACGCAGATTCTAAAACACCAGAATGGACATATTTCGAGAATCGGTCATGTACCGCGGACTGTATACGCTCCCTACACAAATTCTGAATGGCAAGAATGGCCATATTTCGAGATTCGGTCATGTACCGCGGACTGTATGCGCTACCTACGCCGTTTCTAAAACACAAAAATGTGCATATTTCGAGATTTGGTAATGTACCGCGGATTGTACACGCTACCTACGTGGAATCTAAATGACAAGAATGTGCATATTTCGAGATTCGGTCATGTACCGCGAAACAAATGCACTCCCTACGTCCATGTCATGTGCAAATGGCCGTAGACTTGATGTACCGCGAAACAGACATGCCCCCTGCCAAAGTGCATGGACCATGCACAAGAAGGACCGCTGTGCGTTCGCGGTACCGGCCTGTGCATGGTCCGTCCTCAGAGTGAGGCATCCGTCGTATTTCGTGGTCCCACCACTGCTGTTCTGCGTACCGCCGTTGGTTTAAACCCTAACTTAGGGTTGCTTCTGAGGTTCTTCTGAGCAATTTGTGTACCGCCTACCTATAAAGCGAAGTTATTTCTCAAGGTTATCGAAGCTTCTGGCTTGTCGTCCAATAATGGATGCATTGGACAAAACAGTGGTGGAGGATTATGCCTGTAGGGCTTTTGTGAAATGTGAATGTATTCAAAGATGCCATCAGTTACATGAGACTAGCTTCATTGAATCGATAATGTGACCTAGGGCAGAGCACTATCCTCTTTATTTAAGCCTAGAGACAATCAGTGTTATTCACAGCTTTGATGTCGTTGAAACCAAGTCTGTACTAATACAACGTTTTGGTGAAACCATCAAATCATCGCCCCAATTATCTGTTTCAAGAGCACAGGCATGAAAAATACAAGTGTCTCTAGATTGTATATGGAAATTCTAACTATGTTGAGTACTAAAACAAGGTCAGTCCATTTCTACAAAAGCTGACCCAGAAATGAATCGCAGACCTAAATTGTGAAACGGCCAGGGTTCAGAAACAGGTTACCTGTTATATACTAAATTCCGCTTTCTAGTAAAACTTGTGACGAGATTCCTGGAAAGTAAACGGTCAAGAGTGAGGGCAAAAATAATGCTAGCTCGCCATGATGATGACGGCAGCGCCGTGCGGATAGACGCCGGTGAGATCTCGTTACTTTACTGGTTATGGTGGTTACCACTACTCGGGCCGAATGTCCGAAGTCCGAAAGTGGAACCCTAACCCAATGCTGTACCTTCTTATGCAACCATGACTGTCATCAAGGACAGTGTCGATGACGTGCAGCCGTCACACGTACCACCACCAACGATCCTAAACAGAACTTCTTCGACCGCTGAAGTGTCCGCACCACCTCCTTATGCTAGCAGAGATATTGAGCTGGCGGAGACTAACGCGGATGACAGTGAAGGCCCTTTGTATGCCGGTAGCTGCTACTCTTTCGTTTGATGGCGCTGGCTTATTTTCCTCTTTTGTACAGCCAATCCCGATTCAGTAGCCCTTTCTAATGTACTCACTTTGTGAGCAACTATTCTTTGTCCATACCCAATAATTAAGAGCTAGCTTAGGACCTATACCTCAGAACTGTCTTGTCCGCACTGCTCTGTCTTATGAAATCTGATTGATATTTGAAGGAGAACGATTCGAGCTATAGTAATCTTCGTAATCTGCATGTTCCTCCTCGCTCTTCACCTCCGCGCTGGATCCGCGAAGAAGAAACACTAGCTCATACACGATGGTCTGGCATGGGCCAACATAACTGCATCAAAGTGATGTCTCCGCTATGGCACGCCCGGGTACTCTGCTCAACTGATGGGCGTCCCTAGAGGCGAACATGGCTTGCGTTGGTGCAAGAAGAAAGAGATTACTATTCACGGCATCAATTTTGAAAAGCCAGAATATTGCACTCGACGTGGATACTTCGGTGAGTCCAGTGTTGTATCCCGAAAACGTCGTTGTCTGATCTTCCGTTAGGCACACATGAAACGCCGGTTTTACGGTGATTGGATAGTCGAGTCCAACGAGCCGAGCTGTAAGACGCTGTGGGAGAATTTCCAGGATAAAGTGTGATACGCTTTCGATTCATTGATAATCGGCAATTTGATAGGATTCTGCAGGGATATGTAGCGAAAGGTTCGATGCGCCGTGTATGTTCATCTATGTTGATGCATCGACCAGCCTAATTTCACTGCAGCGTATCGAAGCCCATATGGGGAATCACCAGCCGCCATGGGATAATTGGCGAGAGATGTGCTCTACTACCCCGCGGACTATGATGGGCATCGTTTCGATCCTACCATCTCTCTTTGTATATCTTACAGTACAGTCTCTTCAAGGAAATTCACGAATTTCTGCTATCTTTCGTGACGATGGGAGGGAGCATTGGCACGGTCCGATTTCTCCGAGATCACGTGTTGCATTGCCGTAGATTCCCGTTTGTTCGTAACCATCACTGAGACTATCATTAGCTATTCCCGATTCCCTCTCTTGGACGTAGCGATACGGTTCCAATGACATCTGTGGTAGATCAAACTGACCACCGCAATCAAATCTCGTTCTTGCTTTGAAACACGAAGTACTTGCAAGGGATGTTGTGAATGCTGAACATATGGAGGTGTAACAGTCGTGAGATTGACACATTCGAACACCGGTCTTTCTTTTACCGTGATCAAACCTCGCTTGGTATTTTTGCTTCTCTACAATTCGGCTCCTTCTCTGAGACGCTTGGTACCTAGTGAATGCGACTGCTGGATACAACAGGTCCGTAATATGATGGCCCTCTTATGATCTGGGCCCATACTTATCATTCCCTTCTTCTTAGAACTACCTTATTCCTGTGATTTTGAATGTCGACGAAGCCGAAAGCGGGAATTCGTGCGCTAGTCGGGGAGCACCGCTATTACTCATGTGATCCTTGTGCCGCACTTTTCATTCTCCGATCACCCGAGACATATGGTAAGCTGTTTCTGCCTTCGTATGCACACCTTGCTGATCTGTTCAAGTCAGCCATCACAGGAAGGATTCTCTTCCTCTTTGAGAATGAGGATTTGGCTCCAACGAATTGTATCATGGACTATGGCTTTGATCAAATATTTTCCAAGCAGTCTACTTATGTCTTGGACGAGTAAGATATTCCTGTCTGTTTTTTGGGCTTGTTTCTGACAACGGTATGAGTCCTTGGCTCACTCCTCTGAATGTTTTATAATGAGCTCGAAACGACTTCACTTAGGTATAAGGTACTGATCTTCTGCCATCGCCTTTGAACTGCGTGAATGATATTCTGACATTACCTTCAAGACCTCGAGTAATCGATTCCTTCGATGGACTGACGGATCTTTTGGATCATACCAACGAGAAAACATCGACCTTGCACGATTCTTCACGCAAAGAGGTCATGACGACACCGAGGGCTCGAATGATTCCAGTCTTGAGGTTAATATGTTGCCACCTGTATAGGTATCGTCGGTCAACTTTATGAATATCAAAGTCTTCCAAGCTGTACCTATTTGCCCTTTTATCATTCGTTTATGTACCACACTCTGGTAGAATGTAGTATACAGTACTGAAGTGATAGCGATAGGGCGCAAGGTGTAAGATATGACAACTCAGAGTGCGCTCGACGGTAAGAGAACATGTCTTAGGTATGAAATACAAGCTACATGATATATATGTGTTAAGCTTGACAGTCTGAATGTAAGTAAGTTAAAAACAGAAAAGTAAATGGCATAAATACTATGTGGTCCATGGGTATATACAAGCCCGATTGCAGGGCATACTTATTCCGCCAACATGAAGCATCTTGTAGCTGTGGCATGAAGATGTGTCATCACTGATATGAGTTTGACTACCCTACACTGGACCCTGCGGAATCTCCAGATTGGTGTGGTAGTATACGTTGGACCTAACGTAGACGGGTTGGCGTGGGTTGTTAGCGAATAGGAGTTACGTAGCCGAGGGTTTGAGTTTTTCAGAGCAGATAGGGTGTTACTAGGTAGACATAGTCAGTGAGCGAAGAATAGAGAGAAATCATGGTGTGTTCTATGGGGCTCAGAACTCAGCACTTGAAACTCTGACTTGGTGCGCTGAAAAAGCAAAGTATCTTCCCCAGGTATCACTTGATAAGTGCAGTTAGGAGATGGCCGCATGTATACCCGTGTGTCGCCAGTGCCCCACTACACTAGCCGAGAATGTAAAAGGAGGAAGAAGATAAGAGAATCATCTGTTGGAAAAAAGGGGAGTCCATAGTTAGGCTTTAACATTGAGCAACCGCTCCACCTGTGATTAGCACAATTTCGAATAGGGAGAGCACGCTGCCGCCCTCAGCGTGGATGAACTGGTCACCACTCCGTCGTCGTCTCGATTCCCAGTAGTTCGAGGTGGTTACCGTCGTCACAGTCTTGTCCTCGCATCCGGTGTGTAGTGTAGGTTAATGGTAGATATGAAGATAATGATCACGAGAAAAGGAATTTTACTGCGAACTGTGGGAACAAAATAAGAGGTATAAGGACTAGAAACCACACCGCCGCCCCAAGCCAATCCCTTTCGTGAATGTGCATCTGTGCCTTTATCGATGCGGCGCCGTGCTCATCGTGAATTAGGTATTTTGAGCCTTGGTGGCCAAAATATTGTGTTGGCGAAGTAAATAATCTTGTAGAAAGGAAAGGAAAGGAAAAACAGCATGTGGACACAAGAAGAAGAACCAAAAAAAGAGGACGCACCTGCACGTCTCGTGGCATCAATTCCAGAAGAACGGCAACGCGTACTTCCACATCGGTGGAAGAAATCATCCGCCTATAGCCAAGCATTGATCATTCCGTTGACTCAGGAAGAGCAAGACATCTAAGTGAATGGTATATCAAACAGTGGGGTTATAAGTAGGACACTTCTCTATCCTAGCAATAAATTCACACTTTGCGATACCAAATAAGTGAATCCTTCTTCGTTCCAGCGACAGCAGGTATCTGGTAAGGGGCCATGGAGACTCGGAGAGTGTTGCAAAGGTCAACGTAGGTCGATCTTTCTCCTAACTCTGATCTCAGTGCTGTGACGAGAGCATCTGTGAAAATCCCAGCGACGTTTCCATCATCGCTCCAGACCTCCCTTGCGAACTCAAACTCCCGGCATGCTGCGAGAACAACATGAGATGTCATGTCTGCAGACCAGTTCTCCGCTAGCACCGACGGAGCTCCAGGCCAATGTTTCTGCAAGCTCTTGTCGGCAGATTGTAACACACCGTCTTCTCTGTTGGAGACTGGTGGCAAATCCCGTAGGTGGCCTGGAGAGGTTAAGAGGGATATATCACGGGTGGCGCTGCCAGAATGGCAGCAATCAAGAATGAGAGTGATGTTGTCGCCCTTTGTATCACGGATCAAGGAAATTATGGTATTAAGTTCCCTATCGCTGATATCAGAAATCGGATGGCCATCTGTATCAAGTTCATCACGGTCTACGGGACATATGGCTTCGACGGATCCCAGGTGCGCCGATCCACCGACTTTATCCTCGAAGTAATTTGAACAAAAGTAGTGCGATCCATGCCCGGAAAAGTAGATAATGATCGAATCTCCTATCTCAATGAGAGGATTGGTACGAATATCGTGAAGCGCTTTGATGATATTTTCACGAGAGGGAAACAATGAATCATGCCTTGATCCATCGAGACGGCCCAAGAGTAGTTGTATGCGGCACTTCGGAACACCTAAGTCAATAAAATATTTCTCCATTGTTATTGCATCGAAGACGCAGCCTCGTAAGGGAAGCTGCCGGTATGCGTCAATTCCTATAATGACCACCCAAAAGCGAGAAGCTTCTATGCCGCTTGGAAACTGAACAACCAGTTAGAGAAATTGATATCTTCAAAGGACGTGAAACACAGACGCCTACCTCGTAATTCTCTTGTGCTCGATGGCTAACCCGGAGACTTGGTACAATTGTAACTCGCTGCAGCTCTGACAGACTACACCGAAGTTTGTATAGGGTGTCAAGAACCACAGCCGTCTTTACGGCCTTGTTTTTGGTTTCCATGGATGCTCCCTCTAAGGCCAATACCCTTTCCTTCGCTTTCTGTAGAATGGCAGGTGAATCAATCTCGTCCGAATGCATCCCATACTCCTCGGCAATTTTGATTTCGGATTCTTTCAGGGAGGATATTCGCCTCTCAAGTATTTGTATCTCCTTTCTAATTCGTAAGATTCGGTCCTGTTCAATCGTCATTGGTCATATGTCCAGTCAAGATGCTAATGCGTTCTCCTACCATGAACAATGCCTGGGAAGACGATCCATGGGATGAAGAGTCAAGGAATGGGCGACACTCTGAGTGTCCTGGTAAGGACATTTCATAGCTCTTGCTTGACGCAGCTGAAGGAAATCCTGCAAGTCCTCGAGAGTATTCTATCGTAGGGAGAACGTTATCAGACGGATCGATCATCGTCGGTGTCGTGGAAGTGACGTGGACAAAGTTCCACAGCCTTTAAATGTACTGGTATATTTAAAGTACGAAAATATGGGATCCAGAATAACGGCATCCTTAGGTCCAAACGAGATCCTTTTCACTAACATCACAGCTCAACACTTCCAGGACTCACAGTAGACGATAGCAATTGTATGTGTACCGGCTTATCCAGCTATGTCAGGACAGCCTACTATGATAGGTGTATGAATTGCGATACACATCTTCAAAGGTGTCTTCATCTATTTCGTCTCACCGCCCTGTGCTGGACTGCAATTTGATCCTAGAAGTCACAGCTTCACAACAGCTTCAGGCAGCGGCATTATACAGCACTGAATAACGAAGCTGTTAGAATGCTGTGAAGGGCTGTTCCAAGGGTCTTGCCCTATTCGGAAAACGCGACCATTTACACCTCCCTAGCTTTCATGCATTCTCCCATTCTTCTCTCCATAGCCTGTGTAAGCGTTGTATCATTCACTAAGATTTTGCGCCCTTGCTAATAGGAAGATTCTGCCATCTAGTAAAGATTGTTAGGTCCTAATACTTTCCGTTCCTTCCATGTCCTTGTTGGCGATCTTTCAAAATCCTCTCATAGTCAAAGATTCCGGAATCGAGCTACGCGATTGTATCCATCACAGTCTCTGGAACTTCCTTTCGTCCTGCGAAATCATGTCAACCGCTACAGCCCCATTAAAGATTGCATTTACTCCACATCATCCCCCTCCTCCGAGGCGTCATGCACTACTCATTGGAGTGCAAAACTACAATGAGAATCCGCTTGATGGATCTCTAAATGATGTCCAGGCTCTCCATGACATCCTTGCTCTCCAATATAATTTTCGTCCAAATGACATTACTTTGGTGACGGACAACGGCAGTAGGCGACCAACCCGCACCAACATCCTCAGCGCTATTCATAATTTGGTTCATAACGCCCAGGCGAACGATAGTTTTCTCATATACTACGCTGGACATGGAACTCGATATTCAGGATCTATGTACTCCGACTTGCCTTCAATGCAGGAAGACGTTGTGGAGGCAATATGTCCCATAGATCGGGGAAGCGTCGTTAACGGAGAGATGGTATTCGATATCACTGACCGAGATATCGATGCTATTGTTTCCGGGGTGTCGGCGAGGCTCACCTGCATTTTTGATTGTTGTCACTCAGGCACGGTGCTTGATATCATGAACTGTAGATCGACGAAGGTTCGATATGCAAATCCGCTTCCCGACATGGGAAGAGCTTTGTACCAGAAGTCTCAAAAATGCCTACGCGTCGGCAGAAATTCGGAGTACCATATTTTTATCCTTGCATGCAAGAGCTATCAGATTGCGTTGGAATGTAATACGGACTCTGGCGATAGGATACATGGGGCTTTTACGCAAGCCCTTCTCCATGCCTTAGAGTCAGACATTGAGAGAACCATGATTTACGAGCAGCTCATGGGTCAAATCGGAGTTCTTCCATCGCAGACGCCTGTGATTTATGCCGGTAGCTATACAGGTCGTCTGTGGAGCATCGGTGGGTTTATTTCCTAATGAAAATGTCTGCTGCTCTTTGCATATCATTAGGCAAGAACTAGCCATAGAATACAATCAACTGGCATGGTTATGGCCAAGAGGGCTTTACCATACTTTGCTTATAATCCTACTGGTAGCAATTTTTTTCTTTTCGTACATCAGCTTAACTTTGGCCCTGTAGTCTTGGATCAGCGTCTTAACTTCTCTTCGGGGTATTTGTATAGTTACTATAGATTACGATCCGTGAATAATGATAAACCGATTTTCAAAATATTGAGCTGAAGAAACCCCAACTCCACGAAGAAGTCCTACAATATTTTCAGTCTAGGTATCGTCGAGAAAATATATAGGACGCACGGACCATCTTGACTGGAAGGTCGAGCGCTGGTGACCCAGCAATCAGATCAAAGAACAGGATGCCGCGAGTGGTGGTCTGGCCTATGAAACAACAAAACCATAATCAGAAAACCGTAGCCGCGAAACCGTAACCTCAGAACAGTAACCAGGAGAACGAAACACAAACACCGAGGAACAACGTTGCAGCACCCCATCCAAGGAACAATCCGGAATCAGGAGCAGCAGAGCTTGGGCCCATGAAGACCTCGAAAGGCAAACACAGCCCGAGTCCCGAGGACGCGCAGTGTCACAGTATGTCATACAGCCCGGTAGCAGAGGCGAAATGGTCGGGCAACAGGCGGTCGGTATATAAAACTGCAATGATGGCCGGGTCCCGACTCCCGATCCGAGGGCTCCTACTACCATCATCGATCCTGTGGCTCGCTTTTCTCCTCTCCTGTATGTTGGTACCCTCACCTAGATCAACGGCGTACGAAGAGGGCACGATAGCGAGACCTTGTACGTCGTTTGATGGACTTGTTTGAATTACAATTAACACATGCAGGACCATTTTCGTGGAACTTGCTACCTTCAGACGGATGTATATAGGCGTGATAATCGACGCCAGGATTCTGAAGATGGACACTGAAGCTAAAGTAAGTGCCTTAATGCTCGATTGTTGCTGACAGATCTACCGGCATTGTTAGAGTTGAGTACAAAATGTCCAATGAGGCGGACCTTTATAACGAGAACCAGACCCTTGATTCTCTTTGGCTAACGACACAATAGTACGCGTGTCTCCCATCTGCAGTCGGTTTTGGCTGGCCTAATTAAAAGCATATAGTTAAGTTTTATGGACATATTGAAAGGATTCAAGCTGTCGTGCGCGCTCCGCAATATGCAACCACGTAAGAAATAGCGGGGTCGTAGAAAGCAATGATGGGGCGATATCTTTGTCATCAGCATTTTGTGAAGGACTACGTGCATCTGCGCCCTATACGCACTCACCTAATGAGAATCATATAACCAGCTTTCGAGCGGTGTATCCTTCTCGAATGGAAGAACGGAGGATTCACATGGCTTGGCCGGGAAACGACGTTCATTTGTTGTCTCGTGCAGGTGCGTTCCATTTCTCTTGATATTGCTTACCTTTACATTGGGCTGACTATTCTGAATGTCCAGCTTGCTCATCGATGCATGGGCATTGAGATATTCTGAAAGCTGACGCCCACCTTACTACGAACGAACAACACCAAGGACATGAAAGAATGGGGAAACGATAAGCCGAGCGATTGCGAGGCCGCGGTTTTGCCAAGTACATCATCTGATGAGGACGATGCTGACCATATTCGATCGTGGTGATGCCTCCATTCCTATTTGTCTCACTCTTGGCTAGGTTGGTTATCTATCTCCCAAATATTTCTCCTTAGAATTGGTCCCAGCGGTCAGTGTACATTCCTTGTTGTCGAATTCCATACCGGTAGCATTTTAGTCCCTACACCATATCGACTCTTCTTGATTTTGGGCTGTTCTGACTCGTGTCGACGTGTATTAAGACCCTCTGTTACGCGCTTGTGTTTCCGACGCATTGGGGCCGTGACAACATCTCATCGAGGACCTCAGCATCCGTGAATGCAATGAACAAATAGAACCACGGAAAATAAGGGAAAGAAAGAGGAACTCCGTGATGCACTACGAGCATACGACAATAGTATCAAACAATTCTTCCAGCTCCCGGATTCATCCGTAAGCTTGATCCCAACGAAGATCGTATATCTCAGCAGAAAGCCAACTCTCCTCAGGCCCTTTCTTCTCTCCTTTTCTCCCTTCCTGTGTATCCACTTCGGAAAAGCCTTTATCATGCCCTTACCTCCCACTGCCTTTATCATCAATGACCTTCGTGTGCAACGCCAATCCACCATGGAAGATACTAGGATATGACGATCACGTTCACAGGAATGGAAGGAGACGTGGCCGGTTCTTCAGGGTGTGTCGAGACATATGGTGAGATATCCTGCTACAAGTCGATGTTGAGGTGTGGTGGGCGGAAGTAGTCATGAAGTTCGACCATAATTGATGTCTTTGTGGAATCTTCCTTGACCATCATGAGGGCGATTGGGTTACGTAGTCCGTAGGGCTGCCCACCATACCCGTGCATAAGGCGGATACGGGTACCGTATATATGAGCCCGTATCCGTACCGTCGGCGGTTTGGAAATCGATTTTACGACCGTATTTGTACGGTTATTGTACGGATAGGCGAAATTTGCATGAAGACCCCTTGCATTGGGTATGTAATTGATCAAATCAATGAAACGTTTGCTTTAACATAAGGTTTACCTTCCTTAGGTCACCATCCTTTTACAACATGCCCGTATACGGGATACGATATGGGTGCGTACGAGATACGGTCAAAACCGTACTGTACCGTCGAGGCCCTTTTTCTCATACTGTATACGGCTGTACCTTATATGACCGTAACCATACATAGTACAGTGGACATCCCTAGTAGTCCGTCGGATGTGGATATGTTTGGGTATTATACCTGAAAGAATGCCAAAGCGAGAAAAAAAAGGACGAAGAGAAGGTCGGTGAGGACGGCAGTGGAGAACAGTCGTACGCTGGAGAGGGGGTATTGTTAAGCGACAGAGAATCATGACACATGTATGGGTATTGCTGCGCGTTCGTAGACAGTACATGGAAAAGCCTCCGAGACAAACATGTCGCAATCGGTGAAGGCATATGGTCTGAGGCGTATGTGTGCATATCATTAGGTGAGTCAGCGAAATGCATGGTCTTTGCGGTCGAGACCTTAGACGAGATGTAGTAAGGCATTATGGATCCGTTCATCAAACGATGTGCTCGTCTTTATACCTTACCTCTTCTTGCAATTGAGGATGGTGGTTCTGATATGGCCTTTGAGCAAGGGCCTCAAAAGCCGAGTCCGGCACGCCATAGCCCTATATGACCCGGAGGAGATAATGGTGCCCTTCAAGCGTAATTGGCACTTAGACCACTGTAAGCAAGGAGGCCTCTTGTCAGGATATCTCAATGTCGATGAAGAGTTTGGACATTATCCAGCTCTGGTGGGCTGTCACGCTTATTACGACGTATTGGGGTCTATCAATTGTCTCGCAATGGTGCATTACACATCGATTCATATAAGTCATAATCCGCTTCCACACCAACAGTAAATGGTACAAATTGGTTAGAATCAGAATTCAATTCAATGTCGTGGTCCTATCAATCATGCTGGTCTGTATTAATATGCTGAGTTCACGGACCCTGATGATATCACAAACTGTAAGTCTTTTCAGTTGTTCTAAATTTGATCACCCCATACTGTAGGCCAAATATAGACATATGAATCTCATTGGGACAGTTGTTGATAGCAATCCTCCATAGAGCTGTTGACCGAGAGCACCCATTCATGATCCATGATTCATGAATATTTAAAACATCATATACATCAATACAGCAACACCAGAAATGAATAGTCCATCAAGAAAGTGTAAAGTGCTCACTGCATACATTGAGACAAAACTTGAGTAAGTCACCTTATTGAATCTGGAAGAAGGAATATCTCAATTCACAAATTGCCATGGAGAATGATTATTGGATGATCAATGATCGATTATTGCTGGTTGCAGCTGTCATTTGGTGCCCAAGCATTACAGACCACAGACCAATAGCTAGATCACTTCCAAATCATTGAGTAATCAGAAAGTTTCTTGGAGCCCACCCAAAGCATAGAAGATGTCCCTTTATGCTAAGCATCTGTCATTGAATTGTCTCTCATTAGTAATAATACAGAATTATTTGAGAGCTTAAAGGTCTCTGCTACTCCCATGTCTGAGGTAATTGCAGTGAAGAGAGAATATTGATGCCAAAGTCCAAATTTAAATGAAGAACAAGATTAAAATAGAGGACAAGCCAAAAAGATAGAACACTACACATGCATCACTCTGATAGAAGTGCTCACTGAATTGCTGAGTCCTCTGCTTGACCTGTATGCTGAAGTGCACTACACTAATTAGGAATTACAAGGAAATACATGACATGCTTGGAAGTGCAGGTACATGGAATCCTATCATCCCTTCATTTGTCAACCATGCATACAAAGTGTCATTCTAGGCAGGACTTCTTACAAAAGAGATGCTCAGGCATGGTATCAAGATTATTAATGCCAATTTCCAATGCTAAGATGAATAGAATGCTAGGCCAGATTCCTTCATTCTGAAATTGACATCAAATCATATAAATCTGACTGGAAGAATGATTTACAGTATCATATGACTACTACAATCTATAGTTGACATCTATTGACACACCCTGAATATGTCCATGCATGCAATTTTGTGAAATACAGTACAACATGCTAAGTACAAATGTACTATTAAGCAGATGAAGCAAAACAGAGCTAGAGTGCAATAAAAGAAAGGCTAGTCATGATGGGCTTGAGTGATGATTGGTGGAGTACATGACTTAGCTTCAGGATGATACTGAAGGGTCACACTGTGCAGGAAGTCTCAGTACTTGACACTGAATGCACTGACAATAGCACAGAGCTTGTGCACTAAGAATAGAAATCATGTGGAATTATGGATATGACCTTGCACATGAGAAACTGCACATGTTAACCATGTGAGAGACTCCACATATGACTTCTGCATGGGACTTTATGCAGTACTGATGTATGATGCATAACCATGAGGTGAATTAATTGATGTGCTCTAGGCCAGAGGTGACACATTGTGAGTAAGACAGAATATCCAGGCACTTAGCTAGAGAACATAACAATTGTGGCTGACTCCAGATGTGAGAGATAGCCTCAGAGCTCTGGAACAGATCTTGAGTATGGCAGAATAATCTCAAGAATATAAGAAAGCAAAGAGACCTGTGGCTAGGCCCACTAACAGAGCTAACCAATGTCAGGTCACATAGAAACAGAGAGTGCAGTTCCAGCCCAGAACAGAATATGCACATCAGACAGTGACACACATGGGAATGACTTGTGAGGGACTCCAGAATGGAGTCCTGCACATTGAAACTACTACATTAGGTTTTTCTTAGTAAGTACAGTAGTAGCCTATTTAAATACTGCATTGTAATAGTAGTAGACAAGTTTCCAACCTCCCACAGTTGCAGTGTATTATGCATGAAGGCCTTGTACTTCAGCTCTGGGTTTGTGTTTGTAACTTCAGGCAAGAGAATAGACCACTTATTGAGATCATTAAGAGAGAATTCAGAACTGTGTGAGGCATTGCAGCTCCCATGGGACTCTAGTTCGATTTAACAAGAGGTTTTGAATTGCACTCTAGCCTGAGAATAAGAGAGCAGTGTCTGAAGGGCACTCTTTTGAGTTTTTGAGATATCTGTGATGCAATGCACTACAGGTGGCAGAGGTTCAAACTCTTTGGCTTGATCAGTGCTTGCTTTTTGTGTTATTTCTGCAGATTGACAGAAGTTCAAACCCTTCAGATCTGTGAATGGGATTTTATTGCATTTCTGTGTCTCTGGATCACATATATTTGAATCCTGTGGGTCTATGATCAGTTTGGAAACTTGTGCACAGAGGTTTGAACCCTTTGGCACTTTTGAACATGTTTTGGAAGTGTTTCTGCTTAGAGCACAAAGCTTTGAGTTGTGTACTATGTATTTTAGAGATTTGAAATTGATCTGAGCAGTACTTGGGATTATTTGAGAGTTTTGTGAGCATGTTTTGAAGTATTGTATTGAGTTACAGTACCTTTGTCTTGAGGCCCAGCAACATTCATTGCCACCTCTTGTTTTTAAACAAAAAGCTTTGAGACTTAGAGAGATCTAAGACCATTATATATGCACTATTACTATTTGCACATAGTGGATCATTGAGAAAACAATTATATTTGCTATAACTACTCTTATTGCATTATAATCCTCTAACAAACTAAAAATTATTGTGTGTCAGTGGATAGCACTCTGCTGTATCAGTTTTCACCTTGCATGTATGCAAAACCTCTGCAATGGGGCTATCTTTTGGTCCCACTTTCGATGTGCTCATGCATTTCCTCCTCTGTTGGCATGATCATTGTATGGAAACGCTCTGGTTTTAGGAGTACCAATTTCCTGTTATCATTCTTTCTTTAGTTGTGGTCTATATGCTAGCTGAGAAGATCTGCCTTTTTATTTGTGGTTTCAGCCTTATGTTGGAGTATGAAGTTGTATCTGGCCAACTCCATGACCCACTGTGCTTGGTGTCAGTTCAGCTTTTGAGAAAGTTGGAAATACTGGAGGTTTTAGTGGTCTGTCCAGATTTTGAACTTTTGACTGGCATCCATGAGATAGTGTTATCATTCTGTCAGAGCTAATATAATTGTGAGTAGCTCCTTGTTGTACATCTCATAGTTCTATTCTGTTATAGTGAGAGCCTTGGATAGAAATGCAACTGGTCACCACCTCCCCTTCTATTCCTATAACAAGACAGTGTCAATGGCCCTCTTACTAGAATATGCTTTTACATAAAATTTCCCATCTATCAATGGTATCACTACAACAATATCCTCTGTTAGTTGCCTCTTCAGTGAGTGAAGGTGTTGGATTGTGCAATGCCTCAGATATAAGGTGCATTACTCATGAGTTGGATCATTGGATGGACAATCTTGCTGTAATCCTTGATGAAACATCAGTAGAAGTTAGTGAATCTGAGAAAGGATTAGAGTTCTTTTTTCTTGATTGGTTCTGGCCATTCAGCTACACTTTTAACTTTCACTGGATCCATATGAATGCTTCTCTTGCTGATGATGACTCTGAGATACTCTATTCTGAGTACCTCAAATTTGCACTTTTCAGCCTTGAGAAATAATTTGTGCTTCCTCATAATAGCCAAGATCTGATAGACCAGTCATCAGTGTTTCTCTTTATCTCATGATATGATAAGAATGTCATCAAAATAGATGGTGACCTTTCAAGTTGAGATGAGATCCTTGAAAATATTATTTATCATCCACTGGAATGTCATGAGCAAATTTGTAAGTCCAAAGAACATCACTGTGAGTTTGAACAACTCTTGGTTCATTCTGAATGCTGCCTTCCACTCATCATCCTCTTTGATATGTATATTGTTGTACCCTCATCATACATCAAGTTTGGAGTAGAACTAGATGTCTTGGAGCTTGTGCATGAGCTCAGAGATGAGTGGTAATAGATACCAGTTCTTGATTGTCATTTAATTGAGTTTGCAGTAATCTTGCAGAGGTCATAGTTTACCATTCCTCTCCTTGACAGAGAAAAACAGAGACACCATGGGTGACTTGGATGGTCAGATATGCCCACTGGAGAGGTTTTCATCAAGAAACTTATCTAGTTCTTCTTGTTTAGCTTAGTTGAGGAAATAGACTTTACAGTCTAGATTGGCATTTGCATTGGGGATAAGGTCTAGCATAGTCCCAGGGTTTCAGACCTGGGAGTTTATTGAAATTCTCTTTGTCAAAGAGGTCTCAAAAGTCTCTGGCCTATTTGAGAACTATTTCTTCAAATGCCTTGGCTTCTTTAGTGGTCTTGGCCTTGGCTGCTAAGTCATTTGCATAGTGCATCATATGTATTTGAATGGCCTCTTTGATGTTTACCATGAGAATAGTTCCTTCCTCCTTCATCTCTTCATCCCACAAGTCCTCCAGATCCTCATCCAACAATACAAAAGAGGTTTTCCAACAGTGGCACCTTGCAAACATGATTCTGCCAGTTTTCTGATTGATCAGTGGGTTATGCCTAATCAGCCAGTTGTGCCCAAGAAAAATTTCCTTGGATCTGAGGTTGATGATGGCAAGGTCAATATGCTCAGCATGGTCACCAATGACCAGCCATAGTTCAACAAATTCTATGATTGACTCAGCCTGGATTCATATTCCATCTGCATTATAGACTGGAATAGAGACAACAGTTGTCTTAGTAGGAAGGTGATTTCAGGTGATGAAGTCATAATTGATTAAGCTTCTAGTACAGCTACTGTTGATCAGGGCAGTGGCAGCATAGATGACTCAAGTTTTCAGAGTTTTGATCTGAACCTTCATTTGCAGGTCTCTTCCTTGGGTCTTTTGTCATCAGAGATACCTTCAAGGCTTTTGGAGTTTATCCAGCCACTCCAACACATTGGCCCATTTTGTCTTCCTCATTTCTTCTACTATTTCATTGATCACCTCTTTGGCTCAGACCTTGTGTACCCAGTTTTTCAGTACCACTTTGGCTTCTTCCTGTTTTGGCATCTTTGATAGTGTGCCAGGTCTATTCTATTTTAAATAGTTTGAGCCATCCAGACTCAGAATTGTTGGAGGTCTCTCTCCTTGTTCAGCCCATAGGTATTTAAGCTCTTGCAGGTGGGTTTTGTGATTTCTTAGATGGAATCAGTGTTGTGGTTGAAATAGATATATTTGAATGCATGTTTAGTTTACAGGTATCTACAGACATATCATAAGTCTGACCAGCAGTGACCAAGAGCACATCTTTAAGTCCTAGGGCCAGACAAGTGGAGTTGCTCATTTTCTAGCCTTGTCTTTCACCTTCTTGATTTTGGTCTCCTTGCTATTTGGTTCTTTTATAGCATCAGCCTCCTTCTGCAACTGCATGATTTGGGCATATATCTCCTCTCATGTTGTTTTCTTCTTCAGACAGTTTTTTGCCAAGTGCTTCTTCTTGCTGTAGTTGAAACACTCGCTCTCTTTCTTCATCTGATCAATGTTGATAGGCTTTCTCTGGCCTCTGAAGACCATTCTGGTCACTGTTACTTTGTCACCAGAGGTTTGGTGGGTGGCAGACTTGCTTCCTCTCCAGTGGACTCTTTCAGCTTCTTCTTGTTCAAGGTTTGAAACCTACTTCTAGGGTAGATTCTGGTGTCCTGTGCCTACTT